CACATACCTCACACATACCTCACACATACCTCACAGTGACAGATACAGATGTATCTTAGCATGGAGAGATCGGCAGAGTGAACATTAAATTATTCAGTTTGTGATCCCCCACAGAGACAGAGAGAGATTGATGTGTTAGACTGAGCTAATACATTCTCACTAGTCACTTACCTTTCCAGTAGCTATATAATCGAGGTTACAACGATTATCAGGCTCAAATCGGTCTTTATCAGTGGAGCACGGAGTGTGGTACAAGAGGTCACGTGATTATTACGAGGTCACGTGATATTTACGACTGTAGTTGAGAGAGTTTGACTCTTCAGACCTAGCTCTACACTCTCTACAGCTAGTTAGATCGAGGGAATGAGGCACTGAAGACCGGGTGTCAGCCACATTATCACGGGTAACTACAGACGTAAACTACAGACTGGAACTACTGACACCAGTCATAACTGTAGTCGGCTGGATTCTCGTTACTGTCTGCTGGATTCGTAACTAATAGACTTGTTGGCTAAGAGTGACAAGCTCATGAGAAAGGAATTTGTGGGATGACACGTGACAGTAACTCCACATATTATTGGTCTGAGCTACAAGCTGATTAAGAAAAATGTACCAAACACGACCCACCTTCCTCTAATAGCCTACAATAAGATGATAACGAGAAGATAAAGTAATGTTGTTATATAATGTTAGGACTATGATCGAGTTTACTAATAACTGCTGAAGATAATGACATTCCAGCCAGACAAGACCTGTTGCACCTCTATTTAATGATCAGAGAAGTATTATATTTACATGTGCTCAACCGTCTCTTAGTTCAAAGTCATCATGTGTCCATTAAACATACGCAAAGCTACTTAACTCAGACCTTTTAAATTGAGAGCGGGCGACCTTCTATAACACGACTGACGACATGTTGGGAAATCTTCAACATTGAGACTTGAGTCACTGGTGTGTGTGTACCTTGATAGCACAAAATAGCGAACAGTTTGTAATATATATTGTAATATATATACTATATAATAGTAATATATATTATACTTTTAACAGACTGTGAAGAGGAGGTAATTTATTATTCAGTACTAGAGGGATGAGACATTCACCGGGGCAACTAGCCACTGCTATTGCAACCAAACAAGAGTAGCTGTGGTAACTATTTACTACTTAAGTACTTGCTACTTACTGCGTAATGACTAAAGTTATGAGTCACGTGGAATTTTAACCATCGGTACACTCGTGTGAAAAACAAGGCCTTGTAAGTTGTAAAAGTAAGGAAAGTTTATGTGATTAACCCATTATTAACATGGCTAGGAGTTGGTTCTAACTGAAAGTCATCAACGTGCCTGATAAACTCATAGTGGTACACTCATATAAAGACATTTTTCGGTGCCATGATTTCCACAAAGAGTTGTTCCTTTCCAATCACCGCTTAAAACTACACCGAGAAGAATTTCGTCGCCGTTATTTGAAAGTGGTAGAATGACTTGTTACTTTACTTTATATGTTGGCAATTATTCCCTCTCAAAATTGAGAGCGATTTTCCAATTTTACAGAGAGCTACAATTGTTGAGTGAGTGTAAACATTGTCGATAGAAGTGCTTTCTGGAAGGCAATTCGTAGAAATGCGCATTGTAATTCAGAACAAAAGAAATGAGTCATGATATAGGGAGGAGCTTGACAATTTCTTACAAATTACTGTCACCGAATATACCGAATATACCAAATATACGCCTGGAAACGCCTCATTATACTTGTAATATAAGGGTACCAATCGGTAACTTGGTTATTCAGTACGGAAAATTAGGAGGTCCCACTACCTTCAAACGCGACTCATGACACTCCACGGCATGGCCTGCTATTAATTCAACTCATACCGCAACACAAAATTAGAAAATATTAATGATCATTATATAAAGAACGGGAACATTTTGTGAGTGATACTTCAGAACTCTGAGTGCAGAACTCTGAGTGCAGAACTCTGAGTGCAGAACTCTGAGTGCAGAACTCTGAGTGCAAATACTTTTCTTGGAGGAGAGTTCAACCAGTGTAGATAATTCTCCGATTAATGAATGAACGGCGTTCCTTCTACAACTTCTCCCTGTGTAACACACGACGCAGTGACAGGGGCCCAAGTTGGGCGGGTTCCAAGATACACACGCTAACAATAGCTCACAGACTAAACTTATTCATACGTGCTACTTCTAAACTTGTAGGGTTTCTAGAGTGGATACTCTGGTTAGAGGGGAGTCTCTAGCAGTCAGATTCCATTTAATACGGGTCTAGAGGGAGGTTAATTTAAAGGGAAACTGACAAAAATTAGGTTCGTATTGAGACTCCCAACAATAATACAGGATATTGAAGCTGATTCTGGTCTTGGCATTGCGTTGAGTTCATATCCTGTGATGGAGAATGATAGTCCGTTTTACTGACAGCTCTTATAATATAATATGCACAAATTTTCCGGTTTAATCTCTGGGCGCGGTTATTATTGACTACTAGCATTGTATGTGACCTTATACAGAAATAGTTATGTTGTGTGTCCGTTCTACCGAAATTACATCGCGAAATTACATCGTATCTGTTGTGAGAAATGTAAGCTAAATATGCAATGTTAACTTATCTTATACCAGCATCCAGAGTGTAAACTGCTGCACAACTGTGTGTATCGTGTAACAAAGTTATGAAGATTCGGAATAGTGCCCATCTTTCGCCGCATGAGTTTCGTGTCAAATGAATTGCCGGGTGCTTACTCTAAAACTACATTGTAATGTTCACTCAGAAACTACGTAATCATGATGACTCTGTAACTGCGTAATCATGATGACTCTGTATAGTGTATACAATGCTGATAACAATGGAGACGCTAATGATTGGGAACCCGCGACGAAAGTGCCAGCCTTACAATGGTCTCCGGAGTCTACTTGAATATAATGACTATTATAGACTCAATGTAATGAATATTCAGACTAAAGAGTCGTTCAGGGCTACATATAATTTATTTGCTACAATTATCAACTGTAATTATATAGTGGTATAATATTATATTTCTTCCATACCTGTAGTCTGTATATAACACAAAGGTAATAGATGTGCCATCAATTTTGCTTGCCTTATTAACCTTTTAGCCACAGAAGGTCTAAAAAATGGCTGGGTATTGAACTTGAAGTATGTTTTGTTTGGTGAGGCCGGAAGGTTTTAAATCTAGCAAAATGTTTCGTAAATTCGAGAACAGTCCAAAATCCTCTTAACTCAGACTCAGCATTATTTACTTAATAATAATAATCTGCTCACTCAATCCACTGAATGTTATTGAGAGTGGTGACATAACACTTCACATACACTACCCATCTCACTGCTAAGTGTTTATACAACAAACATAAAGGCTCTCCATTTTAACGTATTACGTAACACCTTTCTCAGCTCACACAAAACGGCAGTTGAAAATTTACATGATGTCACCAGTCACCACCACCAGGCAGTTAAACAGAAGGATTGCTCACCAAGCGGCCGTGACGACCACTGATTACACTACGTGACGACCGTTGATTACACGGCTCAGATGTAAATTTAGCAGATCGTTTAGAGTCAGTGTGTTTAAATAACGTGGTGCTTTCCAGGCACAATCTCACGATTATTCTTCATTTAACCTAACTGGTGACGAAGTTAAGTGAGGAGTTAGGTTGACAGTCGACAACAAACATATCGTTGAAATTTGCACTCAAGTTCAGTCCAACTTCTATAGATCCGTCCTGTTGTTTGCTGTACGAATGACAGGCTCATACCTTCAATAAATTTACAGATAGCAAAGATATCCTGACCAGTGAATAGGCGAGCTTAACACAGTAAGAATAGCTATTAGCAAATTAATTAATTTTCTATGAGTAGGTACATTATGAGTATGAGTATTTAATTATTATCTACCCTAGAGATGGACAAAAGGTACTTATCTTTAAATAGTTATATATATTAGTGATATTACGGTGCAAGAAGACACCTTTCTTAAGCCCTCTGTTTGGCTTGTAAATCAGTAAATGGGCCCTATTGAACCCAAGGTAGATCCTAACAATAAAGGTCGAACTACTGGTACCTCGAGATAATTACTCTTGATAATTACTCTTGACAACAAAGACCTGTAGATGCAGCCCAATAATGGGTCCCAGTAATAAACCAATAGCTATTAGAATACCTGGTCCGGTCTGATGAATAGTAATAACACATGCGTAGCAACTAGCAATTACAGTGTGGTACGTATTACAGAACTGTGGTGGTACCAGTAGTACCAGTAGTACCAGTAGTACCAGTAGTACCAGTAGTACCAGTAGTACCAGTAGTACCAGTAGTACCAGTAGTACCAGTAGTACCAGTAGTACCAGTAGTACCAGTAGTATCAGTAGTACCGGTAGTACCAGTAGTACCAGTAGTACAGTACATAGGCCGGTCACAGAGGTAGTGTATTATATGCCATATTATATAATCACCCAATTTCCCAATTTAAACGATGACACATAGTCTAGCTAAGTAGTGAGTAACACACACACACGCGCTGTATAATACCAGGATTCATGAACACTAGGGTTGAGTAGCAGCTACTTTATAAGCGTTTATAAGCGTTTAATAAGCGCGTGTGTACATTATTGTTAATTGTCACCCCGAAAGAAAGTTGTATTTTTACAAGTTTGATTGACGTAATCGAGCTAGTCGAGTAGTAACCCAACTATGAACTAATCTTAGAGGCACCAACATTGCTCTCAACCAACACAGCTAGCTCTACTCTTACTGTAACTTGTTTGTTGAGCATGTGAGATAATATGTAGATTACAAATTGTACTATTAGCAGGGTTATAGCCCACACCCCAGTGGCACCCAACACCCCATCACGTGAAATATCGTACCATGTATCAAACGTATTGATCAAACCTGCACTTAGACCAGACAGACTAAGTAAGTCTGAGACTAACATTACTCATAGCCTATCACAACTACAACCCAACACAACATACCTTGACAGTACAGTCGTCACTACCACTGACAATAGAGTCGTGGTGGTTGGTGAAGATGGCGCAGGTGACACTGGCACTGTGTCCTTGGTAGACGTTGACAGAGTGGATGCTGGTTCTGAAGTCCCAGACTCTGAAGGTGGTGTCTTTAGAGCAGGTAACGATCAGGGCTTGGGAGGAGTGGACTGAGGTGTCTGTTATCTCTTGGTCGTGTCCTAATAAGATAAGGACAGGGTGAGATAAGGGCAGGGTAATGCGTAGATATTAAGGGGGAGGTTACAGCTGTGTGTGTGTGTGTTTTATGTCATTCATTAAAACTATATGAATATTTTTTAAATGTGCAACAAAAATGTCGCCTCCCCCATACTGTGTTACTAATGAATTGTGAAGGTAATGATGTGCCTGGTATCTCTGATAATGAAGTGCAGAATACAGAGCGGAAATTTATCAGCTGGGTGTCCTGAAGATGACGGGTACTCTGTGTCTAGTGTCTGTGTGGTGGGTGGATGGTTGCATTCCACACATTCTGCAAGTTCTTGCTGCAGGATGACTCATTGGGCCACAAGTCACACAATGATGTAACGCTTTTCAGAAGACATCATCGGATACTCACAATTTTAGAAAACTGCATAATATGCAGATTATGGAATGGACAAATTCATTGTTTCGTTGAATGATTGAAAATTAAATACACGACATTACATCATCCCAGTCCAGACTCCAGAGTCTCCTTAAAAACCAGCACGTGTTTCCGTGATATGATTATACTTTACTTAAATAACATAAATAATAAACGGCTCTCGTGGAATTTGTTCTCTACAATTTAAAACTAAAGGAAAACATCATCCTGCTTTATCATTATATAACACATGATATTGCTATTACGTTATTGTATTAGGATATGTCTGTTATGAAGGTATATTATATTGTGTGCGGATTCAGTTCAACATAACACACAACTCCGCAATTAGATTACTTATCAGGCGTGTTGCTAGCTGATGCTAGATTACATAATAATGTAACGAATTCTTTCCTCTTGGGTAAGCGGTCAAACAAGTCTCACTCCATTCCATTACATAAGCCAAATATGTAGAAGTTACAATCTATTTTTGCAAGATTAAACTATGCTGAAACTGTTGAGCATATTTCACGTTATGAGTTTAAATAATTATTGGTTTAGATTACACTCGCAACTTCTTTTGGGCAAAAGCTGCAAAAAAACAGGACGGTGGTAACTGTTACTATGGTAACTGTTACTATGATACAGTGGTAACTGTTACTATGGTAACTGTTACTATGATACAGTAACTGTTACTATGATACAGTAACTGTTACTATGGTAACTGTTACTATGGTAACTGTTACTATGGTAACTGTTACTATGGTAACTGTTACTATGGTAACTGTTACTATGGTAACTGTTACTATGGTAACTGTTACTATGGTAACTGTTACTATGGTAACTGTTACTATGGTAACTGTTACTATGGTAACTGTTACTATGGTAACTGTTACTATGGTAACTGTTACTATGGTAACTGTTACTATGATACAGTAACTGTTACAGGACGGTGGTAACCAGGTAACTGTTACTATGATACACCCTGAATCCCGATTCACCGCACGTTTTATGGGGAAGGGAAATAGTACGGTAAATCGGGGTATAAGGTAAATCTTGGTTTTGACTTTTAAGTACCAGTCGGTTGACATGGTTTCTCTCCGCACAGTACCGGTTCCAAATCAGGGGTTATGGTTGACAAATATTGTGCAGCGATGGAGAACCCAACAACACTAGCTGGCAAAGCTTCAAAATGCAATAGTCTTGTTGCCCCCTTTGTTTTAGGAGCTCAATCGATACTGATTCCAGGGAAAACTAACTAACATTAGATTCATTGGCAATCACTACTATTGTTTATACTTGCCATGTCTAATAATTGCAGATGAGATTTGAGGAATTGAGGGACAGAAGTCTTACACAAATATATGTATTCAAAACGTACTTCATACCAGCTAATAGACAAACAATGATCTAACAAATTCCTGAAATACCAAGAGTTGTCAATTAGCTGATGACCGTGCCCTCTTGAAGATCAATCCTTTCAGCGCCAGTTAGTATTTCTTGGTTATGTTTTCGTTGTAAATTTTATATGGGACCAGTCAATAATTTGTAGTTGAACCGGCTTAATCATTATGGTCTTAGGTTATATGAAGTACAAGTGCTCTTCCCTTATCAGCATATGTAATATTATCGGTAGACCAATTGGGCGGTAGGTAGATAAATAGATCAAAGAAGGTACTTGTCAATAAATATTTCGGTCAATCTGTTTTAATGGTTTCTACTTCTCTGATGGTTCTTAGTTGTGCATAATTCTTATTTATTGGTTCTTGACGTTGGGCATATCGAGACTGGCAAGCTTTCATTCGAAGGATCACGTGATATCAGAGTTCATACTAGAATGTAGACATTTGAGGGGGGGTTGAGATACGGTAAATATGGGTGTTACTGTAATGGGTGTTCAGTAAATAGTGCAATATCTGAAAACTCCGTTAACTATTCTTACCAGTGAGAGTGTGAATAATTGCTCCACTCTCCGAATCCCAGACCCGGGCCGTGCGGTCCCAAGATGCGGTTACTGTCTGTGTTCCCCCACTCAGCCATTCTGCTGCCGTTACCGCGTTGTTGTGCCCCGTCAGAGTCTTTTGGGGCGTTCTAACTACAACTGACGCGACACTGAAACAGTTCCCGTCACATATTTGCTCCATTACATAAATTGATACAGTTTAAATTGAAGATATTTGCTGTGTTAACAGTATGGCTCCTAGATCTATGCCGTAAACTGTAGTTAGTAGGGTCAATTTGCAGATATCCTCCTAATTCGACTCTTTAATTTGTCTGGACACAAATCAGCGATATTTGTTTCCACGGATATTATATACAGAGACTCCAACAATCTGGACGAATATGTTATAATCGCAGTATCCAGATATCTGAACAATTTAACGAGTTTGTGCAGGGGTGTAGGAAGCGGGGGGGCAGGGGGGGCCATCGCCCCCCCATGAAATCTGGGCAAGGGGCCAAAAAGGGCCAACTTTTTAGTTTAGGTTTCTAAAAATTTTTGGGAAAAAAATTTTTTCCCGAAAATTTGTAAGTGAAGTCAAAAACTTTTAAGTCAAAAATTTTCTAAGTCAAAAATTTTCAAAGTTTTCTTGGAAACTACTTTTGTTCATGTTTCATGCTACCCTGATCATTCTGAGCCGAAAATATTTTTTTCGGTTTTCGAAGTCCGCACCTACCCTTCGATATACGATTTTGGACTCGAGGGTTCCCCTTTGTCATGCGATCTCGGAAGGCAGGCCTCCCCTTCGCAATACGAGCTCAGAAGCGGGAGCTCTGCTTTCAGAGGTACGTATCGAGAATGACTCGGACTGAACATTTTCTATGTCAAAAATTTTCAAAGTTTTCTTGGAAACTACTTTTGTTTATGTTTCATGCTACCATGCTCATTATGAGAAGAAAATATTTGTTACGGTTTTCGAAGTCCGCACCAACCCTTCGATATACGATTTTGGACTCGAGGGTTCCCCTTTGTCATGCAATCTCGGAAGGCAGGCCTCCCCTTCGCAACGAGCTCAGAAGCGGGAGCTCTGCTTTCAGAGGTACGTATCGAGAATGACTCGGACTGAAAATTTTCTAAGTCAAAAATTTTCAAAGTTTTCTTGGAAACTACTTTTGTTCATGTTTCATACTACCCTGATCATTATGAGCTAAAAATATTTTGTTTGGTTTTCGAAGTTCGATATACGATTTTGGACTCGAGGGTTCCCCTTTGTAATGCAATATCGGGAGGCAGGCCTCCCCTTCGCAATACGAGCTCGGAAGCGGGAGCTCTGCTTTCAGAGGTACGTATCGAGAATGACTCGGAACGAAAATTTTCTAAGTAAAAATTTTTCAAAGTTTTTCTGGAAATTACTTTTGTTCATGTTTCATGCTACCCTGATCATTCTGAGCCGAAAATATTTTTTCGGTTTTTTGAAGTCCGTATACCTACATTCGGAAGGTTGTGGATGTGATACTGATTGGTTTCATATACTAATTATAGAAAACGTGATATTTGGCCCACAGATATGAAGGAAAATACGCGAATTTGGTCCTCAGATTTAAAGGAAAATGCGCAATTTGACGCGGAGAACTGAAAAAATCGCGATTTGTCGTGAGGCCAGGATCTGAAAAATCGCGATTTGTCGCGGCAAACGTGAAAAATCGCGATACCGCACATGCTGCAATTTCCTTTTTTCCTTACCCTCGAAATTCAGGCATTGGCGCGAAGCGCCAAAAAATTTAGACTGTGGCGCGAAGCGCCAAAAAATATTTAGAATTTGGCCCCTCCATGAAGAAAATCATTCCTACACCCCTGAGTTTGTGATAATGACGACCCAGTCAAACACTGGCACAATTAACGCATGAGTCCACTTAAAAGATGTTCTAAACAGAAGCTCTCTGATCAGTGATGGACAGTTAGATTAAACAATTAGTAAGTAATTAAACAATTACTCAATTAACAGGCAGCTGTGTGAGATCTTGTCAGCCTGCTAACGACATCAAGCCCACACTTCCTCGACCAGTGTTATTTAACTGGTCGCGCATATTATTCAGCAATTACATAATTGTCTTTCACGACTACTTGCTTTGACGATATCACAGTCTTTTCTTTGGGCTAAAAGTAGAAACCAACGGTACAACTCGCTCACATCGAAATTTTAACATTTACAGTTACACAAAAATCAAGCTTGAAGATAATTGTCGTTTAATCTAGGACAGGACTTGAATGCCTTGCACAGTGTGATACGTATCAAGCCACGTGGTGAAATGACACACACTATAATTTGTATTGTCACGGCAGATAATTCATTACATGGTGTAAATTGTACACGTTTCCTCCGTGGATCTCTACACAAAAGCAAGGAAACATCCTAAACACATGCCTTGTCTAAATTAACGCAAGCTTTTATAAAGTGTACAGTAGCGTAGCCGCCATACCGTACAGTAGAATTTAAAGCATAAAGTTAGTCCCACAGCGGGTTACCCTGTTTGTACTTTGGCGATTTTATGCATTCTGATAAATACATTTACCCTTACTATGCCCAGACAACACTGTGAATATTTGGATTCAGATTTGATATTTAATTTGCCAAAGACTGATTTGCCACAGGATATACAAATTGTACATGTAATAATACTGTGCTGCACTTAGATTTGTGATGGGTAAATACTAGAGAGCCGACTAAAAGATTTGTGGACCCAAGTCCATTCCGTGCTGTGCGGAATGGACGTCATTAAACAGTTTACATAAACCAAATAATCACCCACTTGTTATCGGGTTCAGCCTCTTCGGGGTCGCTGAATTCTTCCTCGGAGTTGTGTGGTAGTGAGTGTTCCGAGTAGACGATATCACTCTCAGGAACATCACAACACCAGATCTGAGCTGTCCTGTCGCCGGATCCAGTTAGAACCAGCGGTAATGTTGGGTGAAACCTATGGTATTTATTTATAGTTATTTATTTAAAGTTTAAACTGTGACACACCTTATGTTAAATTGTTACCAATGGATGTATCCAACACACACGAAGTGTTATCGTTATCTAAATAACATATAAATGGGATAAATGATATGAGCACAATTCGTTGTAGATCTTCACTATCAATAATAGTACGTCAGTAGTAAGTGTGATGTACTGTGTTATGAGATGGAACTTAGCAGGCTTGGAAAGCTGTACATTTGTGGTTTCTCGACTACAAGACTCTTGGATATATTAAGAATAATGAGATGCTTCGACACATTGAGTTATCAGATTATAAATAAATTAAACAATTACTCCAAGATATAAATATTAAAATTAAAACTCTAAAATGACATGAATCTGACCTGATGGAGTTGACACTTCCAGAGTGTCCAACATATTTCAAAAGACAGTTCTGCTGCCCCTCAGCTTGCCACACCCTCGCCGTCCTATCGTTACTTGCTGTCCCTATTATAGGCCTGCCTTTTAATCCTTTGCAGTATGACACATCCCAGATACCATCTTTATGACCAGAAAATCTGAGGGAGGATATATTGCATTATTGTATCATGATAGCTATTATCTGATCGACCAGTTGACTATTTTTGACTGATTATGGCTCTAAACCAATAATCTTGTGTAGCAAATAATCAAGTGTTGTATGGATCATGGTCAGTGTTATGTGCCTAGAATTTCTAGGCTAGAAGCCATATTATAGTAGAACCTTGAAGATAATTAAGGTAGATTGGAGTGAGGAAACTTAAAGTTTTACCTGCCAACGTGCTTTATGTCAACGGTAACATGAGGGGGTCTGAATGAGCTCACTATTTTGTTAGTCTGTTCTTTGTACTTTATCATTACTTTTTTGGAAAACTGGCTTGCATTTCTTGGCAAGTTCTGCCAAGGTCCATCGACGTCAGGAAATGATTCTTTTGAAGCATGATCTTTAGTATCAACATGATTCTTCATACTAATCTGGCGTTCTAACTGCCGTAACTTAGATTTTACTGAAACGTAACAAGGCTTAGAATATCATAGATCAATCTCATCATTCAAAAGTTAGTTCATAAGAAAACTGTGTTCAACTATAATTTTAACCTAAGATTACAGAACACGTTACAAACTAAATTGTTTCAAAAGTTCTTATAGCATTTAAACTTACACTGTTCATTCTCTTGACAAACTTGAGAAAATTCGGCCTCAATACCAGCAAAATAATATCCCAACTGCTTCTGAAGTCTAGGAGGGACATTGGTATCTTCAATGTCCTCTAGTTTAGGCCCATCGTAGGTGCTCTTTTTCTTTAATGATCTAAAGGACATTGTTCATACATCCATGCTGCGAGTTTTGGCACCTAAAAACATTTGATTACAATCTTGTATTCTTATTGATCTTGTATTCTTATTGATCTATCAGTTAAAAATAATAAATAGCGTGTGTAGAAACTGTGTAATCCAAGTCAAACGTCTGGAACTCATGAACCAGACCCAGACTACAAGACAGGCTAGATGGTAACTGGATTTCAACTTTCAAGGTTTACTGACATGGACAGAGCTACCTCATCTTCTCCTTACTTTCACATGAAAATAAATAACTTGGCACTTTCAAAATTAATTTTAAACTAGACGCATGCCGGTACTAGATACATTGTGTGCTGTGGAAATTTCTGTCTCTCTTGTAAGAAAATCGGATTTTTAAAATCATGTCAGTGAAAGTAGTCACAGATACTAGGCTACTCACAGCACGTACAAATAAAACAAGAGCTATGTTTAGAGACTACAGAACCCCTTCAGTCAGTTCTAAGTCGTGCATACGTAGTGAGCTTAAATATTCCAAATCGTGTAATACAATTTGGCTGTAAACTTACAAGAGCAACGATTGCTAAAAACAGACGATAAATTGAGCCCCTCTTGGGCAAACAGAGCAGTAATAGAATCGTTTACAGATTTGTGGTTCAATAGTTGGCAATCTTCAACTCCAAATAAAAAGGTTGTAATAAACGTCCTGAGGCTAGGGTTTTCCAACATACCTAACGAGACATATTTATGTTACACATTATGGGGGGTCTAATTTGGTCCTTTTCGGGCCAAAGAACTATATTTATAACAGTCCATATTTTTACCCCTCATAATTTAATAACCCCCGAGTCAAACTTTGGTGTTTCTTTTGGTATATCTATCAGTTACTCGTCTAAATTTCTTCGAAGTAGCGTGCGCCGCTTTCTTCTCGATGGCAAGTGCTACGAAGTAGCGCGCGCCGGGCCAGATCATTAACAATCAGTGGCGTAACGAAGGGCCCTGCTGACCCCGCTGTGCAGGGGGGCGCCGTCTTAGGGGGGCGCCAAATCGTCGTTTGAATGTGGGACAATTTCGAAAACTTAACTAAAGTACTAGCAAAACTGCACGTTTTGCTGTAGAAATACACTTTTTTAGAGATTTTACCGGCGTATCCTCTAAAATCACCTAATTTGTTCAATTTTAGGGAGGGGCACCAAAAGGGGAGGGGGCGCCAACAGGGGGGCGCTTTTTCGGCGGGGGGCACCAACAGGCAAAGTTACGCCACTGTTAACAATGGTCAACTATCAGTCACAATATTGAATATGCTTAACGTTTCTTTCATTCACGTCCAGAAGTATGCTTACGTTATTGTTTGCTGAATTGAAGCTAGTTCTGGTTCAAAAAGTCCGATTTGTCTACTATTCCCCCATCCTTTTAATGTGAGGGGTTAACTAGGAACAATTTAAATTTAAATTTCAGATCACCAACTTCAGATGAATAATAATAATAAGTTCAGCGGAAGCTGTTTCGTTGCATTAAATTTTGTGTGAAAGCGGCAAGGATACAAGGATACAAGCAACAAGGATACAAAAGTGATAAATATTTTATTGAGTTCACAATACACAATAGTTATAATTCTGAATAACTTTTGATCAATATTTTCGATTTGAGATTTTTTTACGAAAGTCGCAGTAAACAGTTAAAATTGTGGGGGGGTCAAATTTGGTTCTTTTCGGGCCAAAGTGCAAAGAATCATATTTATAACAGTCCATATTTTTAACACCCATAATTCGAAAAACCACAAAATTTCTATTCATACCATTTAAATTAAATATATCTTGTAATGTAATATGTATAACCAAAGACTAGCACTGATATAATTTTATATTGACATACGTTGCATGCCACTTTTCGCGCGCCGGAAACTTAATTATGAGTAAAAATATACGGAGCTACTATAATTCATTGTAGCGCGATGCGTTACTGGCCCGCCCCGCGCACTCAATTATGCTTCTCGCTAGATCGGCGAGATGCGCTACTGGGCCTCGCCGAGCTGCGATGAATTGACATTGTCAATGAACTGATTCAGTACTTGCCATCAATTTCATCATAACATGTTAATTCTATAAACATGTTTCTCGTTTTAATTTTTATATAAGCGTCAATATTTTATTTTATACCAAAACGCGCGCCGAGTTGGACTCGTCGACGGTCTAATATTTGAAAAAATATTTTACGAGTATCACCCGTTGCAAATATATTTGCTCTAGTATAGCTTTACCTGGGGACCACATGCTATTACATATTATGTTCATAAACATAGCCTGGCGTAATTGAACCCTCTAAAACGCGCAAGTAAGCGCAATTATTTGTATCACGTGGTGACCCCCACTGTCGCTTCACTATGTAGAGTTTCTACGATACAGGGGAGCCGCGCACTCGTGCGCGGCGGGTCATACAACGTATGACAAGCAATTATGCGATTTTACAATCAAATAATCAGATTTTACAATCTAACTCAGCGCGCGGCCCTTGTAGCGTATACGTCACTTCTTTCCAATTGGTAGTTGGAGTGCACGTGATTTCTTGCGTGGCTGTGATTGGTTCTAAACGATTACGTGAATGCTTGTCACGTGCGCTCTGACATCCAATGAGCATCCGTACTTTTTTCCAGGGCGATGGAGGTCGTAATTCACTCAGCCCAAATAAAGATTCGGCGGAATGACAGGCTGAGCGCCGCCGGTAGACGTTAAAAACTAGTGGAGCCGCGGCAAAGTAGCAAAATGCGCGGGCAATTCTAAAATTTATAATGTCGCCGCGCCTCACGTCTTGTATCTTTGTATTATTAGACAACAACATCAAATTCACTGTCCATATTTTGTAACAAAATCTAAAATTTCATAATACATGGTGTTGTATATGTTTTAATATCACTATAACTAAAGCGGACAAGCTTTTTATTTTACAACAAAATCATTCGGTCTCCTTGTCACTGTAACACTTTGAAAGAAACACGAAGATTGAACAGCGAGACAGAGAATGGACAGTGAGACAAAAATTGAACAGTCAGACAGAGAATGAACACCGAGAAAGATTGAAAGGTAAGACAGGGAATTAACTCTAAAATAAAGAATGAACACTGATGCAGAGATTGAATAATGAGACGGAGAATTAACGTCGAGACAAGAATGAACAGTGATTTAATAGTTAAACAGAGAATGATCACTGACAAAGAGATTGAATAGTTAAACACATAATGATCGTTGAGACAGATTGAATAGTGAGACGGAGAATGAACGTCGAGACAGAGAATGAACATTGAGACAGATTGAATAGTCAGACGGAAAATGAATGTCGAGACAGAGAATGATCGCTGAGACAAAGATTGAATAGTTAAACAAGAAAATGAACACTGAGACAGAGATTGAATAGTTAAACAGAGAATGAACGTTGAGACAGATTGAATAGTGAGATGGTGACAGATCGAATAGTTAGACGGAGAATATCATAATATGGTTAGTTTAATATCTAATATCTAAAATGATTGCACGGCTTTTAAAGTAATATATTATCAAACATAATCTTATCTATGTTATCTATATTAGTTTCTTTTGTAAATATAGGATGCCACATCATTGGCGGTATCTGACAGTTTCTTATATAATAATGCACGGACATCATCGTCCATCACGTCAAACTCGGGATCATTAATGAAGGAAGTTATTCTGTTTGAAAGCTCCCGCCAATCTCCTTTATATAGTCTATGTCCCGTTTCTTCTTTCTTTTATCCCCATTTCCTCCCCATCATCTTCTACTTCTTCATCCTCGTCTTCCAGGGACAAAAGGATTTCGCGGCGATTTTGGCCAAATTTCGCGATACCGCGAAATTTAACAGGCTATACATTAAACTATACATAAAATTTGTCGCGGAGAATGGGAAATTTCGCGATTTCGTACATGCCGCGAAATCCTTTTGTCCCTGTCGTCTTCTGATGCTGGATAATCACAGCATTTGTTTACATCTGCATCAGCTGGCCATATCCCAATATCACTTCCTGCAAAAATAATATCGGATTTTATATTTTGACTATTATAAGAATTGGAAGCAAAGCAATAGGGAAAACCTTGCAAACCCTGCGGAGATGTGATTTATGACTCTGATGGCAGAGAGTGATAACCCACTTTAACAGACAAAATTATCTTTGTCTTTCCAACCCTGATAACAACCAGGGTCCACACGGATACCTCGCCTCGGAGGTCGAAGTAATGCCCTGCCTTTGATATTGATAATAATATTTACTGTTGGAAACTTCATATTTTCTCTACAAGCAGGCTCCACACCTCCTACATCGACGCGGACGCACGGCCATAGCACATGAACGAGTTATGAACCTCAATTTTGTCTTGTCTATTCAAATTGGAATGTAAACATGCATACAGATCAATTTAACAGACCTTTATCTTTTACGAAGAACGGTTTCTGTAATCTTCAGGTAGGTCCTCCCATTTCATTAAACCATCATCGATAGCTTGAAAAATATGTCTGCAGGGGAAGTGGGTCCTGCTGAAGTTTCTGCAGGTGCAAGTTGGTCCTCTGATGTTCAGTTGGTGGGGCTCAGACTGGTGAGAGGATTTCACATGGAATACTCCATCAACGACCTTGCACACTTTGCTTGACCGTTTACCTTCTAAAATTACTGGCTGTTATTCAAAAAATCAAACCAAGAGAGAACACATAATATTTTGTCGCTTTATAATTCAAATTATTACAAAAAAATACTCGATTCTCCAGAAATTTGCCTTGCACATATAATGTAGTAAGGAGAATAACTACTGAGCTAAATATAGAGTAACACTGACGAAGACAGAGAGTACTTACTGTTCTCAGGAGAAGGAAACCCTTGGTCTACTGTTTTGAAGAGAACTGGTACACTACTGTTTTTAGGAGAAGGAAACCGGTGATCTACTGTTTTGAAGAGAACTGGTACACTATGGTTCCCCGGAGAAGAAAACTGATGCTCTAATATTTTCAAAAGAAAGGAAGTTTTACTTTAGCAAGATTACTGGTAAACAGTAATAAAAGTCGACAATTAG